CAATTTGGATGAAAATTTAAATATATGTTTTTATCATAAAGATCTTGGTTCCTGTTGATAATCACACATATGTGACCCCCCACAGCATACTAGTCACAATGAGGAAATTTTGAAAATTGAGTTATTGTTATTTTCACATTCTCCAACTCATTACCTGCAATTTGATGTATAGTTTGTTTGAATTGGACAAAAATTGACTGAGCTGTGTCCATTAGAAGCTACCCAACTTACAAAAGTAAGTTTTGAGAAAAAGCAAGTCAAAAATTTGGTATGTTCCAAAACAAAATCCCATAGCAACCTGCTGTTTTGTCGTTGAATATATCTTTCCATGGGTTTTCAGGGGTGCTGAAGACGAAAATCGTAGTAAAAATTTGATCCGACTATTTCCGCAATATAATTGCTATATTTTGTCATTTAATATGTTTTTTATTTAGGATTTCAAGGGTGCTGACAACGAAAATTGTAATAAATGCACTGCTTTCGTAACAAAACATCCACAACACATAAGGCATAATATTCACATGATAGTGTTATACTGAAGAACAATCTATACATTAGTAGTCTGTTGTGTATAATATAACTTTAGTGAGATTAACTTAATCTTAATCTCATCAATTAATTAGCACCTTAGTGCCAGCTAGTGGTCGGGAGATTAAGATTTTTGATTGGATAATCATCAAAGAAGCCGCAACAGCTGTACACGTGTTCATTTAACACGTGAATTAAAATAAGATTTTGCGTGTACGATAGGTCTATTATTATTTTCAGGTACCGTGATGTTATCATGAGTCCCTATAGAAATGTCAATTTCATAGTCAATGTTTACGTTCACTTTCGTGCATTTTGGCTTTGATGTAAATATCAACATTATTCATAGGATACTCAATGGCAGACTCGAGAATCGTCGCATTTCGGCTCGTTGGTCGTTCTCATTTTTTCGACCCATTGTGATAAGAGAATTTTAAACAATAATATCCCAAATACATTCCATACTTTTCATGCTGTATGAAGAAGCGACGGTAAACGGAATTCAGCTATCAATAAAATTCTCTTCGAAAAGAACATTATTGGCCATTTTGTTTATTTCCATTTAAGGCCTATAGATTATTTTTTTAAAGATGATATGAGATACCAAACAATCACCACTTGGATTAATTATTCGGATTAAATAATGAGTTGTTGACAACTTTATCATTGACCCGTGACAGTTGATTAGTAATAGTATTACTCAATGACACACACCCGCTTGTCGATTAATTTGCATCATCAGCCACGTAGTTTCGATTAACACTCAACGGCAATCTATACGATCAGAATTAATTTTTTTTTTCTGCCACTTGTCAGAGTGAATCGCATGTAGGTACCCAAAAACATTGCCAAAACCAAATATTTATCGATAATGTCTTGCACGCGGTGTCTGGGCCAATCAGCAAAGGAGTTGTGTGGACAGCATGGCAACAGGCAGAGTTTATTTATATTTTTGGAGTGTTTTAAAACTCGATTGTATCCATTCAAAATAAATTCATCGACAATATTTTGATCATATTTATAAACTAGAGATGCTCCGCTTTACAACGATGCCAATTTTTATGCAAGAGGAATGACCGGTCGTCCCACTGCAAGCGAAGAAAAATAACTAATTTCGCCGAGAATTTTAAGAAATAGAACAGATTTAAGAATACGGTACTCTTACAAAACGTTCAAATACAGGTGTTTTAAAATGTTTTATTGCTATTTTGATCTTCTGTGTCGATAGATAGTATATTTATAGACTCATTTTTGTGAAAATCTCAATTTCGTTCAAAATCAATATTTTCACTTATTTTGTCTTTATCTCATTATTAATGCGGCCGGTCACATATCTTAACGTAACTTCCTGGATTATGGCCCCTGATTGTACAAAAAATCTTTTTTGTTTTTAGCTTGTTCTCTTTCCAGCTCTTGCAAAATGTGGGCGTATCCTGCCTGGCAGCAGATGGTTATGTACAACTATATATTCACGTTCATTAAGTACGTGTGATTTGACTCTGTGAACAGAGTGAAGCAACAATTTTTCAAAGAACCAATATGTGACTGGCCACACCTAAATGAGTCGAAATGCGCACGAATCAATAATGAGATAAAGACAAAATAAGTGAAAATATTGATTTTGATCGAAATTGAGATTTTCACAAAAATGAGTCTATAAATATACTATCTATCAACACAAAAAATCAAAATAGCAATAAAACATTTTAAAACACCTTTATTTGAACGTTTTGTAAGAGTACCGTATTCTGTCCTATTTCTAAATGAGTCGAAATGCGCACGAATCAATAATGAGATAAAGACAAAATAAGTGAAAATATTGATTTTGATCGAAATTGAGATTTTCACAAAAATGAGTCTATAACTATACTATCTATCAACACAAAAAATCAAAATAGCAATAAAACATTTTAAAACACCTTTATTTGAACGTTTTGTAAGAGTACCGTATTCTGTCCTATTTCTAAATGAGTCGAAATGCGCACGAATCAATAATGAGATAAAGACAAAATAAGTGAAAATATTGATTTTGATCGAAATTGAGATTTTCACAAAAATGAGTCTATAACTATACTATCTATCAACACAAAAAATCAAAATAGCAATAAAACATTTTAAAACACCTTTATTTGAACGTTTTGTAAGAGTACCGTATTCTGTCCTATTTCTTAAAATCTCGGCGAAATTCGTTATTTTACCTCGCCCGCAGCGGGACGACCGGTCATTCCTCTTGCATAATAATTGGCATCATTGTAAAGCAGAGCATCTCTAGTTTAAAAATATAATTCAAATATTCTCGAATTGATTTTGAACGGATACAATCGAGTTTTAAAACCCCTAAAAAATATAAATAAACTCTGCCTGTTGCCATGCTGTCTACACAACTCGTTTGCTAATTGGCCCAGACAAATTGTGCGAGGTTTTATCGATAAATATTTGGTTTTGGCGATAATGTTTTTGGGTACCTACATGCGATTCACTCTGATAAGTGGCAGAAAAAAAATTAATTCTGATCTTATATAGATTGCCGTTGAGTGTTTATCGAAACCATGTGGCTGATTATGTAAATTAATCGACAAGCGGGTGTGTGGCATTGAGTAATACTATTACTAATCAACTGTCACAGGTCAATGATAAAGCTGTCGGCAACTCATTATTTACTCAGAATAATTAATCCAAGTGGTGATTATTTGATATCTCATATCATCTTTAAAAAAATAATCTATAGGCCTTAAATGGAAATAAACAAAATAGCCAATAATTTTCTTTTCGAAGAGAATTTTATTGATAGCTGAATTCCGTTTACTGTCGGTGCTTCATACGGCATGCAAAGTAAGGAATGCATCTTGGATTTATTGTTTAAAATTCTCTTATCACCATGGGTCAAGAGAGAGAGATAGAGAAATGGGGTTTAACGTCCACTCGACACAAACTAGGTCATTTCGGGACTAACATATGGTTTAATTTTATTTCAATAATTCGCTTGCGCGTAGGGGTCTTTAACAGTGGGAGGAAACCGGAGGACCCGGAGAAAACCCACGAGGTTGGACAGGCGACCCAACTCCTTGTCACGTACAACCGGGGATTCGAAACCACGCCAGTTGACTCAATGACAGGCTTTATGATACAGTGCGCACGTGCTAACCATTTGGCCATCCAACCCCCCCAATGGGTCGAAAAAATGAGAACGACCAAAGAGCCGAAATGTGAAGATTCTCGAGTCTGCCATTGAGTATCCTCTGAATAATGTTGATATTTACATCAAAGCCAAAATGCACGAAGGTGAACGTAAGCATTTCTTGACTATGAAATTGACATTTCTATAGGGACTCCTATTTTGATAACGTCACGGTACCTGAAAATAATAATAGACCTATTGTACACGCAAAATCTTAATTCACGTGTTAAATGAACACGCGTACAGCTGTGGCGGCTTCTTTGATGATTGTCCAATCAAAAATCTTAATCTCCTGGCCACTAGCTGGCACTGAGTTAATCTCACCAAAGTTATAATATACACAACAGACTTCTAATGTATAGATTGTTCTTCAGTATAACACTATCATGTGAATATTATGCCTTATGTGTTGTGGATGTTTCGTTACGAAAGGAGTGCATTTATTACGATTTTCGTCGTCAGCACCCTTGAAATCCTAAATAAAAAACATATTAAACGACAAAATAGAAATAGTCGGATCAAATTTTTACTACGATTTTCGTCTTCAGCACCCCTGAAAACCCATGGAAAGATATATTCAACGACAAAACAGCAAATAATAAATGGCCTGGTTGCTATGGGATTTTGTTTTGGAACATACCAAATCTTTGACTTGCTTTTTCTTAAAACTTACTTTTTTGAGTTGGGTAGCTTCTAATGGACACAGCTCAGTCAATTTTTGCCCAATTCAAACAAACTAGACATCAAATTGAAGGTAATGAGTTCATGAATGTGAAAAAAACAATAACTCAATTTTCAAAATTTCCTCATTGTGACTCAGTATGCTATGGGGGGGTCACATATTGTCTTAAGGACCAAAGTGCTAATGCTTTAATTTCCCATATTTAGACTCATTCTCAAATTTAAAGTCGCAGCATGGAATCAACACTCACCTCTAGCAGAATTCCTAGCTATTCCCTTAAGGAGAGCACCACTTTAAATTTAATAACTATCCCTGCTCGTCAATCAATAATTGGAATACTTTGTTAATGACAAGTTGAACAACCTGGCCATACGAACCTTCACAGATATATCTACAGTTGTTTGTGCACACAAACCCCATTTTATACTAGATATTTTAAAATCTAGGAGGCAGGACTAGAATGCAATTTGTTTTCTTGTACTGATTTTGTCCGTACTGCATCGATTGTAACCAAATTCAGGTGACCAGTTAAGAGGCAATTATCAAGCAAGTTTCAACATTATGATCAGTTAGTTTTTAGTATTTAAACCCCATGATTTTTTTAACATTTAGCTCTATAATACTAGTGAAGATTTATCAGAAAATTTGGAATTTCCATCTGAATCAAGATCTGCTGCAACAGGTTAGTTATATATAATCAACAGTTCTAATTGTTTAGAAGTTTTGTATTTATATAGAACAATTCATTTTGTTCCGGTCACTTATTAGTGTTTCATGTGTTTCTTCCTGGTGAATATTACACTATTTCAATATCGTGGGGAATACTGTGTTGAACTCCAGAAACCAATAGTGGGATGGGTGATAATGAGTTGGAGATTTAACATTCAGATTATGGAGTCCAAATTATCTTGTATATTATTATAGAGCTTATGGCATGTCCCAGTCTGCCTTCTTGCTGCAACTTATAACAAAATCAACTACTTCTGAAAAACCATATAAATGATTCTGACAAAATGTGGGGCTATTGGTATTGGTGCTTATACCTATCAATATTTGATCAAATAAAGTTACATAAGCTCCACGTTTAACTCCTTTTCTAAGAGGTTTTGTTGGATTTCAGCAAAACTTACAAGAGTGTTACTTATACAGTGTTGTGATTGGAATGCCTTAAAAAGGAAAATTTAGATATTTTGGCTATAACAAAACTTCTTATGGTTGATATATGAAATGAAACAGGGTTTAATAATGTTGAATAATCACAAAGATTGGCCTGGTTTATTATGATGGCTATTATTATGCTGAGGTTTCCAGCGAATCCAAAATTAACTAGAACTGCGAAGCAGTAATGACGGGTTTCACTGGTGCCACGTTACCCTTGAACTTGTGTCACTTTTGGTGCCATGTTACCCTTGAACTCATCACTTCCAGTACCAAAGGAACCGATAAATAGATATCCACAAACTTTGCATGCATCAAATAAATTGGAAGCAGAATCAACCAAATCCAGCAATATTATACATTTGTTTCATGAATAACAAGTGATCCTGACAAAATTACATTACTTCCGGTGATAATGAAAAAGTTCAATTAGTTTTATGAAATCAGAAATGGCATAAGGCATCGCATGGTGAATTTTTTATGTAAATCGAATATTAATTGCTACTTATATAGACCAAAAACCTTAAAAAGTAACTTGTAGAAAATCGTCTATTTCTCTGCAACCGTACAAGTTAGAAACCATTTTTTGGTATCTGTATGATCGTGTGGGTCCAATCTATGTGTTGATTGGAATATCATAATTTTAAACACTTTACAAATCAGACGCATTTGAATAAAATATCTGCTTTGAGGACTAAAAATACAGTTTTTGCCAAAATGACGTTAAATCCGGTGATAATGAAATTCTTTAATTACTTGTATGAAATCGTAAATGGCATTAGGTATCACACATTGAAAATTTTATGAAAATCGAATAATAATTAAAACTTTTATGGACCAAAAACCTTGAAAAGTAACCTGTTGAAAATCGTCTATTTCTCCGCAACTGAACAAGTTAGAAACCATTTTGTGATATCTATATGATCGTATGGGTTCATTCTATTAGTTGATTGGAATCAAATATCAAAATTTAAAAAAAATATAACAAATACGACTCATTTGAATAAAATATCTCTTTTAAAGGCTAAAAATACATTTTTTGCCCAAATTACGTCATTTCCGGTGACATTGAAAATGTTAAATTGGTTTGATCTAGTTAAAATTGACATTACGCATCAAATGGTGTCACTTTTATCAAAATAATTGACACTTTTACAGACAAACTAGCGTAAAAAGGGACTCATGCAAAATTGCCCATTTCTCGGCAACTGCTTATATTACAAACTAATTTTCACATACATTCTCTTCGTATGGATTATTGCTACTAGTTTATGAAAGTTGCGAAAAAATATATTAAAATATGAAAAGCCTGAATGGGTTGTAAATAGCTAATTTTTTCACCCTTTTTCACCTTTAAATCGAAATTACCCGAAAACGAAATCGAAATTAAAAAAAGCGAGTCCGATGTTTTCTGCGCCTTTACAGGGCACACCCTTTCAGTCATACCAGATTTGAAAAAAATAATATTTGCTTTCAAAAAGTGGTACCGAACTCTCAAAATTGTAGTTTTTGCTAAATTTACATCACTTCCGTTGCCAAAAGGCAATTTTACTGGTAACAAAAAAAATGACATTAATCCAGGACTGAAAAACTGAATTAGCCAATGGGGGCCAAGGAAAAATACAGTGGCAAAAAATGTTGCCATTTTTGGTCAAATCAGATGACTCTTTAACCCTAAGTAAAATACCACATAAAAATATTCATTAATAAAAAAGGTTTTTGGTCAAATCAGATGACTCTTTAACCCTAAGTAAAATACCACATAAAAATATTCATTCATAAAAAAGTTTTTTGTAAAAATTTAAATTTTCAAAATTTGGTGCCTAATATCTCCTAAGATTCGTCGAAAATAAAAAATCCAAAGAACTGTAGTCATGTGCCTTGTCTCTGGCTATGTCAAAATGTATCAAATATTACAATCCGACAATTATTGATAACATTACGGCAAAATATCGAAAAACGACAACTTCGGTGATTTCGGACATTTCGCATTGTCGCAGAACGTTGGAAATAGCTTTAAAATTTAAGTCAAACCCACTTTCCCAGTAAAACCGAAGACATCGAATCGATCCGACAAGTAGTTTCTGAGATATGCTCAAATGGAAAAATAATAATAAGAAGAATAATAAGAATAACTAGAACTGCGACGCAGTAATGACGGGTTTCACCGGTGCTCCGTTTTCCTTGAACACATGTCACTTCCTGTACCGATAAAACTATTAAATAGGTTTCCATGTAAGCATTTCACACATCAAATAAAATGTATCCAGAATCAACCAAATCCGGCAATATCAATTCAATGTATACATTTGTTACTGTAAGTGATCCTGACAAAATTACATTACTTTTGGTGATAATGAAAATTCTAAATTAGTTTTATGAAATCATAAATGGCATAAGGCATCACATGGTGAAATTTTTTATGTAAATGGAATAATAATTGCCACTTTTATAGAACAAAAACCTTGAAAAGTGACCTGTAGAAAATCGTCCATTTCTCTGCAACCGTACAAGTTAGAAACCATTTTTTGGTATCTGTATGATCGTGTTGGTTCAATCTATTTGTTGATTGGAATCAAATATCATAATTTTAAAAACAATACAAATCAGACGCATTTGAATAAAATATCTGTTTTGAAGTCTAAAAATACATTTTTTGCCAAAATGACGTTACTTCCGGGGACAGAAAAAGTGTCAGATTACTTGTATGAAATCGTAAATGGCATTAGGTATCACACACTAGAAATTTTATGAAAATCGAATAATAATTGACACTTTTATGGACCAAAAACCTTGAAAAGTTACCTGTTGAAAATCGTCTATTTCTCCGCAACTGAACAAGTTAGAAACCATTTTGTGATATCTAATTTTTTTAAAAATCGAATAATAATTGACACTTTTACAGACAAACTAGCGTAAAAAGGGACTCATGCAAAATTGCCCATTTCTCGGCAACTGCTTATATTACAAACTAATTTTCACATACATTCTCTTCGTATGGATTATTGCTACTAGTTTTTCACCTTTAAATTGAAATTACCCGAAAATTAAATCGAAATTAAAAAAAGCGAGTTCGATGTTTTCTGCGCCTTTACAGGGCACACCCTTTCAGTCATACCAGATTTGAAAAAAATAATATTTGCTTTCAAAAAGTGGTACTGAACTCTCAAAATTGTAGTTATATTCCATTATAATATGCCCTTTGGGCATCTCCGATTTATATTGCATATTTCTCATTGATCTAAATAAATATGTATACTAACTCAACATTCAAAGTCTAAAAATAGCACAATTGCACGTGCAGCACCGTGTCAACATACGCCTGACTATAAATAAGAGGTAAGGCTCGGCTCTAGTTGTCTTTTTCTTTTTTGATCTAGACCATGACTAGTAGTGGTGCACTATCTTAGTCATATTATATCGTATACTATTACTTTGCGATTTTGTTGGATCGTAGATTCAATTTCTTTTTTACGTGATCGCGACCGGTACGCTGTGCCGGTCCATATATTTTTTGTGGCGTTGTTTCACGCCCGTTTATTGCTTTATTCCATGTTGAATTTAGTAAATCTCCAAGCGATGATTTTTAGAGGTTTTTTCTGGAGAGTCTGTTTCTATAAACTTAGAACCGGACATTCTCATCCTTGATGAAGGTTAAACCTCTTGGTTGATGTAGATACGATCGGTAAAAGAAAATCCGCCATTATATTATAAATATCTCAACCGGATGTTTACACCGGTAACAGGCGGCTAAAGGGACAAGTAATAAATCGTATTTTTAAAAAGAAAGGTATAGTGCCTTCTAAACCTTGTGATAGGGTGACCCACCATAAATAAATATCTCCAAATATCTCGACAATTACGCCACAATATTTATATATATGCCAAGCCTCAAATCAGTTTCACACAATTATAGTCACTAAATAAACGACCATGTTGTACTTAATAAGCTATGACCATTAATCATCTATAAATAATAGACTGAAAACTGGTTCAAAGTGTCGTCCATAACATCCAGACACTTTTGAGTAAAAGATAGGTTACGTGCCCTTGTTTTGAAATTAGTCTCGCTTAACCAGTCTATCGACCATTCTACGTCTGATTGACAGGTCGGGATAATCAAGACTACTTTTTTACGAAACATAACAGAAAGCTAGAACAAGAAATTGAATTTAGAAATAAGCACTTTAGGCAACTCAACAATTGTTTTAAGAAACTTGTAAAAGTAAAATGAAACTACTGATAGTATCATGTTCCTGCTAACGAAAGTGATTCAGAGATATTATTTGTACTAAACCAAAAGATGCCACTCTTAACGGTACAGTTAATGATAAAGCAATTTAAAAAATAAAACAAACGTAATTTCTGAAGCTGCTGTGATAACCAAGAAGCTAAATTTTACTGCTATTCAAAATCGTCAACAATAGATTTTTTACGGCTCTAATAGTTGATATATTTGTAGAGAATTGCACGTGCCATGGCTATTTATCGACTCAAAGAGAGTGCGGGGTAGTTAGAAATCAG